GAGGGGGAGTTCGAAACAGAACTAATCATTCGACTTCTTCGCAACTCACAGCTGTGTGGAACCTGGGCCATCAAAACAACAACTCACGCACGTCGAAGAACTTTGCTAACTACACACCCACATGTTTACATGTTTTTTATTTTTTAACCGGAAAAATTCATGGCTTTTGGTGCCTCCTGAGTGAAATCTTGACATCAGAACAGCCGACGTTGCCGGAAACATTCTGCTACTCTTCGTTCGACGTTTCCTCATTATGGGTGTGCCGTGAGCGCAAGTACACGCATCCAGTATTCGATGTCTCTTCTTTCTGCTTCTGCCGCTCAGCAAGTAATTTGACCATCGGACCATCTCAGCGTGGTGTTCTAAGACGATCTGCTCCACGTTGGCTGTTCTGCGGAACCTAGTTTGTAATCCTTGACGTCCCCCGTTATTTGCTAGTCAAGTCACATGACTGATGCGTATTCTCTTAACGAGGTAGAGGGACGAAATCCTTTACCGTTGCTGGATATGTGCCCTTAGAACTATATCTAGCGGGAAACCATGTCAGCAACATTGCCAATAAACAATTACCTCGTAAGGAACCGAAGCAACGTGAAAGATGCAAATGTGCCATAAGTGAACTACTTCGCTGCCTGAGCTTGCCCTAGTGCAGGGAAAAGACACACTGATTGAAAGCAAACAAGTAACAATCGAAAAACAGAGATGCGTTCCAGCGAATGAATGAGGTAAATGTGTGCTGAATGACTTGGTAACGAATGACTGGTCGTTGTTAGCTGAGTTTAATAGACCTCATGACACCCTCAAGGCGACACTGTCGAATAAAAGACTTAGCCGGAAATTCGTGGATGGGAAGGCGTCCCTGTCCAAAAGTTACAACCGAAAAATAAATGATCGAATTTCAGCAATATGCCGACTACATTCTGATCAGGGATGGCGTTTTTATACGTGCAGGACTGTTGCTGACTGAAATTTAATTGTGACGAACTAATCATGAGGAAGTCTCAGTATCATCGTTTGCTAATGCTCTTTGTCATGGGCACGTAGAATGTGTTTCCCTGGTTATGACGCTGGCATGTGGGGTCGAAACGCGTGTTTGAATAAAGGATTTAGCAAAGTCGTACATATTGCTAAACCATTGTCTTAAATTACCAATCAGTAGAAGAAAAAATGCAATTGTCATTCAAACAAGTAACCAATCGATATTTCCTTCCACACTCAATTGAAATGCATTATTATTATGCAACAGATCAGTTTTTAAATTTGTTAACGGAGGAGCGAGTTTTGATATCTTAAACATATGCTACCGTTACGTGGACATCACAGGAGTAAAATCGATAGTCTCCGACGTGCTAAATCAAATAGTCGACCTAAAGTCAGGTATTCCTTCAGGCTAGAGGAGTCTGAGGCAGCTCATCGACATGAGGTTGCACGACCTACCTATATGAACGTTGATTGAACAAAGTGGGTTCACTCCCCATTCATCACTGACGTACTCGGTCACTAAAGAACTGTCGCATCTGATCATGCGGTGAGCTGCCACAAGTTCGCTGGAGGATCCGGCTTACAGTCACATTCACATGAGATGTAAACGTCCGCAATGGAGTTCTGTTCCCACCCTCTTGACGAAGGCCCAGAGGCAAGCAAAAAAACACACGGACAAAACGGTTGCTCAATGAGGGCCGCCGACTACAGCGCAGTTCAAGTTCAATCACTTCTGAGTGATGACAACTACTTGCTCCTGACGACTAGTCTGCGTGCTTCGCCGAACTGCCAGGGTTACACTGAAAACCCGTCATAAACTCTGGCACCAATAGCTAACGAGGCGCTTTTGGCTGAGGCACACAAAACTCCTTAACTTTTTAGACAGTTATGCTTAGACGAATGACTCTGCGATCACTAACCTGGCAACAAAGAGTGGGACCACCATCGTATTTAATGATCCTCAACGAAGACTCCTTTATAACGCTTTTACACTGTCAACAAAGAATAACGGTTCCTGGAACAAAACACGGAAAACACAAACAATGTCTAGTGGTTGATTGTTGTACGTTGGCAAATAGCACCCTTGTGCCATGATCGAGATCCAGAAAATTCAGCGTTACAACGTTGTCCAGAAATATTATGTTTCCATTGTCATGCCTCTGTTATTTTTTTATTTTCAAACGTCGATTTCAACATACTTCTGTAGCTCTGAGCGAATCAATACCTGGGAGGAAAATCGATACGTTACTGTCGATATAACGGAAAATTTCAATTAGTTATTTATTTAATTCAAGAAGGAAAGGCTCAAGAAAGCCTGGAAACAGCTTATGGTGACTAATGATAATCTGAAATCT